AATAAATGAAAAAAATTGAAGACAGATACATAATTCACTCATTGACAGCAAGACAGCACATGGCAAAGATGGGGTTCATATTTTGGCCATTATATTTCAAGTAGAGGTAGACCAATAGATGTTTTCTCAGGTTTCGCTAACCCTTATTTTAATTTAAAGTGATATTACCAGAGGTGCCCAGTGGCTCAGTCAGTTAAGCATCCGACTTCAGTTCAGATCATGATCTTGCAGCCTGTGAGTTCAGGCCCCACTTGGGGCTCTGTGCTGACAGCTCAGAGCCAGGAGCATGCTACATATTCTGTCTCTCACTCCCCCTCCCCACCAATGCTCTCTCTGTCTGTCAAAAATGAATAAATGTTAAAAAAATAAACTGATACTACCAATACTAAATTAAGATCTAATGTTAAGCAACAGCTATTATAAATAAGTGACTTATTTTTATCTGTATTTCTAGCACCATTTGTTGAAAAGGCTTTCCTTTCCCTACTGAATTGCCTTTGTATACATGTGTAGGGCTATTTGTGGATTTTCTCTTCTGTTCCATGATCTACTGCTCTGTGTCTACACTGCTACCACACCATCTTGATTACTGTGGCTTTTTCATTATTCTTAAAATACTGTTGTATAACTCTTGCAAGCTCATCTTATATTTCAAGAGTGTTATTTTTTAATTACTCATGATCCTTTATATTTTTCATTCAAATTTTAGGACCAATTTTTAAATTTCTTTAAAAAATTGTTGGAATTAAAAAAAAATTTTAAATATGTATTTACTTGAGAAAGAGACAGAGAGAAGAGGGAGAGTGGGAAGGGACGGAGAGAGAGGGAGACATAGAATCTGAAGCAGGCTCCAGGCTCCAAGCTTTCAGCACAGAGCCCTTATGTGATGCTCCAACTCACGACCTGTGAGACCATGACCTGAGCCAAAGTCACCCATGCGCCCCTAGAATTTTTATTATAATTACATTAAATCTATACATTAATTTTAGAGGAACCTAGGTCTTAGCATGTTTGTTGTCTTCCAATCCATGAAGATGATATATCATTCCACGTATTAGGTGTTATTTGATTCACTTGGCAATGCTTTACAGATTTCAGTAAGGGGATCTTGCATACCTTATATTAAATCACTTCATAAGTATTTTATTTTTGATGCTATTATCAATGTGTTCTATATTTTACTTTGATTGTTTCTTGCTTATATATGGAAATACAATTAATTTTGGACTCTTGACCTTGTATTCAACAACATGTTAGTTCTAGTAGATTTTGATGATTCCTTGGGGTTTTCAGTATAGGTAATCACTGAGTGTGAGTAAATGCAATTTTTTCCTTTCAGTCTTTATTTCTTATATTTCTTTTTCGTGCTTCATTATACTGGCTAATAACTATGGTCATAACTATAAATTTTTCATAGATGCATGTTATCAGATTGAGGAAGTTCTCCCTATTGCTAATATGTTGAGAGTTTCTTTTATTTATTATAAAAGGAAGTTGATTATACAGATATGATATTTTTCTACATTATTTTGTTAATGTGACTAAATAATTAAATTTTCAGTATTAAACCAATCTTTCATTCCTAGAATAACATTTGGTTGTGATATATTATACTTTTCATATATTAGTGGGTACAATTCACTAATTTTTTTAAAGATTTTTTGCATCATTTTTTATGATAGTTTTAGGTCTGTGATTTTCTTTCTTAAAATATCTTTGCATAAAACTTTGTATAATATTGATGTTATTATTGATATTATTCTTCCTTAAAAGTTTATGTAATTCATCATTGAAATCAGCTAATCATGAAAAATAATTTTTTTTTTAAGTACAGAGGAAGATAGTAGGGGAATTTCTTTATTCAATGTTTATTTATTTTTGAGACACAGAGAGAGCCAGAGTGTGGGCGAGGGGGTGGGGCACAGAGAGAGAAAGACACAGAATCTGAAGCAGGCTTCAGGCTCTGAGCTGTCAGCACAGAGCCCGACATGGGGCTCAAACCCACAAACCACAAGATCATGACTTGAGTGGAAGTCGGATGCTCAACTGACTGAGCCACGCAGGCACCCCATATAGTAAGGGGATTGTTACAAAGAAGTGTTTTTCCAGTTTTTATTTTTTATTTTTTCCTCTCATTTTCATGTTAGTGTTTAATAATATGAGTTAAAAAGTGAACTAAGAGAATAAAAATATCACTCTACAAAACTACCATCAGAACATTTTATTATCTCTGGTTTAAGTGTACCTGGCGGGACATAATAGAAGAACAGTATCTAAGAAAGGGATCACTCAGGTGTAGTATTCATATAAGAAGTTATTTATTCTTACTCATTCCTATCATGGACAAGTTGTCAAGGTTCTAGAGAGTTGACTATGTAGAGGGAATGAAGTAGTATAATCTCTTTAAATTAAAAGAAAGCTTATTAACGATGATGAAGATGTCACTGTAATCTTCCTTGCTACTCTCTCCTCTCTAATGGTAATCTTTAAAAAGGGATAGATAGAAAATCAAATACCTTTATCTTTCATACCTTTCTTCCCTATTTTTAGCCCAGTTTTCTCATCATTAGAAAAGCATAGATTAACTATTAATCAGTAATGACTATTTTTATCTTTCATCTTTGTCTGCCTTTCTGTTGAGCTAGTTTAATACTGCAGAAGTTTAATACTACCAATACCAGCCTATGCAGCATGTTGTTTTAATTTTATTTTTATTCAATGTTAGCATGTTAACATACAGACACATTTGAAAAACACCAATTGCTGTAACAGCATAAGATATAAAAATAATACCAATGATATTAACAATGAAGGAGGGAAATAGAGGAAAAAATACAGCCCTCAGGACTCATCACATACACCAATGCAGCAACTGGTCCTTGTGATGTGACTTTACCATTATCCATTTCCTTTACCTTTCTTCAGCCTTTTAGCCAGCACTTTTGGACACACTGTCAAATAGAGTGGCTTACACTTTTATTCTTGATGTAGATAAGCCATTTAGAGTTCTTCTTGGGCAGAGTTGTTATTACATCCTAAAATATTTAGAGTCAAACCTATTTCCTTTGATAAAATTGATCTGGACAATGTGACCTTATTTTCTGCCTGCTCCCGTGACATTAATGGTCCAATATGGTCAAATGATAGTTTTACTTTCCAGTTATTAGCAGTCTTCATTTTGTAGCTGAAAACAGAGGAGTCTAGTTTCATTCCTTTCAGGAGAAAGGTACATGTTAAGGGCTGAAGCAGCAACTCTCGTTTGACTTTTGAGGATGGGTTTCTCCAAAGATGCTTTTGATTCTGCTGTGGTCAGACTGCTCTCTTTTCCATGAGCAATAGCAAAGCTGGTGCTTCCAAGAACGTTCTGATTCTGCCCCACTATGATCAGTGTGATATACATCCTATTCTCACAAAACCAGATTCTGACTTAAAGTCTCACATGTGTGTACATCTGATTGCCAAAGCAGTAATCACATATACTGAGCCTTAGCTGCAAAGGAGTCTGAACAAAAGGGAATTTTTATTATTCTGTCTCTTACATGTGAGAAGTGGTTTGGAAGGGGTACTGAGTGACTCATTCACAATATGCAAGACACTTGGTGAAAACTACACCTTCTTTGTATAAGGAAACCTTTAGTCTACTACAGCCTGGAGAAGAAAACATATACAACATCCTGCAACATAGCTCCCAAATTTATAAATTTACATCTTCTATGGGAAGCCACTGGTGAGACTTTGATAAGGTATTCTTACTCTTCCAATACTTCAATGCCTGATAATACCAGCGAGTCTCAAACATATGTGCCTCTTAACTTATTTATTTCCTCATTCTGTGTTTGTTATGCCCATGCACTATTGTGTGGAATATCATCATGGTATATAGAGAATTTAGTAAGTCCACAGAAGATGATACTGTCAGAAGTAAATTCAGAATAAGTGTCTTACTGTTATTTGCAATAATAAGAAAATTACTGCTCACTTCACAATGGAAGGTATCTAATAGAATCTATCTGCCACCAAGGCTTACAGCTTATCTTGATGCATGTTACTATTAGAGGTCTCAAGGCTAGTTGAACTTCTAAAAGCATTTACATTCAGCTGCCAAGTGGGATTCCAGCAGTAATGATGGGATCATTAGTGATAGTAGAGTTGACCTTGTAGAAGGCAGCCTATGTCATTGTGCCCATGCATAATATAGTTCCCTATCCTACAGCAGCTTTTTCAGGATCATTGAGCAAGCTAGGTCTGGATGGCAAAGGAAACTGATATTCACAAAAGTGTCACCTTACTCCTTTCATTTGTTAAGACTTTTTTCTTGAAGGATTCTTTTGGTAAGCATCTGGAGACTATTCAAGAACTATCCTGATAGGTTGATGCACATACTCTTTATCCAATCATTTGGCTATTAACCCTCCATTTGTCACCTGAAACCCTGACTCTTAGACTACACTGTTAGCCATTGGCTGGACTGTGTCTTCTTCTAGATAAAGTAGACAATAAAAGTACACTACTCAGGCTTCTTCCTCTGCACTTCCAGGACACAATGAAAGAAGCTGCTGTACTGTTAAAGGTCTGTTTCTAGATGGAGTAGACCTGTTTTTAGGAGTCCTCAGAATTTTATTCCATGACCTTAGTCCAGAATTTTAGATCTGATTTTGACTCTTCTATGTTATCTAATGCTATCATTAAAAAAATGTTTCTCTGGACCTGTATTATTTTGCTTTAAATTTTCTGTAGTGTCATTTTCCAGTTTTTCAGAGTTTCTACCTCAGTAAGTCTGTGGTCAGTGGATCACAGGAGATAACCCAATTCACTTGCTTCCACCTTGTATTCCATACCCTACTTGCCATCCTAAAATAAGGAAAGGACTCAATACGTTTTCAATCTTTTTGACATGGCATTCAGTTCTAAATATTCCACATGTCCCTGAATATCTGTTGCCTGCAATACACTCTCTGGTGTCAATATGTGCATAATTCAAGCATCTATTTTATTGACAGGCAACAGAAACCAACTCTGGACAAATAGCTGAGGTACAGAATAGAAATCAAAGGAATAACAGAGGAGCTGAGACCAACAGGAGGATTGAATGAGGACCTCACAAGAAGAACATGTGGATTTTCTTTTTAGGTATGTCCATCAAAGAAATTCTACTCCAAGAAATGTTTTTCTGCTCCTTTGCCGATTTTCAAATTCCTTGGGTAATAAATCTCATTGGCTTAGTTTAGAACAGTTTTTAAGGGAATAAGCTTGAGAGGATGGAAACTAGGTCTTATAACAGTTAAGAGGCAGTGTGTCTCCTGTGTATGGGGTCCTTTACAGAGAATAAGGAAACACAGAAGTGAGGACCCCAACAAAGTGTAGTACCCTCTTTTCTTAGGCCATTATGGTAGGATAGAAAAGCACTAATGGGCACAAATCATTTTCAACATTTAAAAAAATTGTATATATTTTGAGAGAGATAAGAGAGTGGGGGAGGGACAGAAAGAAGGAGACAGAATTCCCAAGGAGGATCCGTGATGTCAGTGCAGAGAGCCTGATGCAAGGCTTGAACTCACAAACCATGAGATTGTGACCTGAGCCGAAATCAAGAGTTGGATGCTCAAGCAAGTGAACCACCCAGGTGCCCCCATCTTCAACATTTTGAAGACTCAGTCTTGACTAAACAGGATGCATTTCCTCTCTGCTTTCTCTTAAAATTAACGATTACATAAAATTGTCACTTTTGCCCAGTAAATTCCCTGACATGCTAGTCTCTCCCAAAGTTTATCTATGGTGTTCTTTATGAGCGTGTTTGTTCAATAAGTCATTATCAAAACTTTTTCCCTTGAAAGGTTAGACTACTTATTTCAGCTCATTTAGAAGCTGTAACATATTTCAACACATGTAAAATCAATGAGGTGTATATTTTTATAGATGAGAATTCTTTTTCACTTGCCTGCAGCTTTTATTTGCATTTTGCAAATTTATCATAAGTGTGCTGACAACAGAAAATCGCACTCAAGGTTCTGAGATAACTAGTTAAGTCATGTGGTTATCGGCTATATTTTGGAGAGAGTTCCACTAAAGTAAATAAAAAGGAAATTACTAGACAAAAAAAGCGTCGGTATTAAATGAATTCAAGAAAAACACTAGTTGCAAGACTATAGCACCAACAGCCCTTTTAACTGTCTTTGGCTGTGGAGCATTTATATTCCTGTCATGGCCATCTGAGTTGGATGTTGCATTTGTACAAAATGTTTGTTAGGATTGTGTAAATGTAAAAAAAAAAAAATAAAAACAGAGAAACTATTGCTGAATGAAAAATGAATGTGTCATTCCTAAATGAAAATAGACAGAATAATTGATAGGTTCATCACGTTTTTTATTTTACTCCGACCTCCTTAAATAGCCTGTGTTTTTCTGGATTCATATTGTTCATTCGTATTGCTCCTTTGACTATGTGATCCTGTTGCTTGGTCTTGGAGACACTTTTGGGAAAGAATCCAAGTGTTTTCTCCTCTGTTCCAGATGGTTGCAATAATGTGTGACTGACATCAAGAGTAACAATAAAAGGGTACTTTTTCACAGGAAGTAGTTTGCAAGTCATGATAATTCCTAGTAGAAAGAGGCGAGGTTAAACAACTTTGTTGTAAAGTTAAAGAATCAGTGGCTAATCCACACAGAGCTCTGTCCATCAGATGATTAGCACATTTGGGAGCCAAAGTTAGGAAAGGAAGCTTGAAACGAATAACTGGAATGAAGGATTAGACTTGGAAGCCTGTGTATGTTGTAAAACAAATGGAACAAAAATGGATATTGTATTACCAAGATATGGTATTGGACAGTAAAATAGAAAACACAATATGAGTCTTTAGACTGTAGAGAAATAAATGGTGTCCCCACTCTTTATTTCTATTTTAATTAAATCCATTTTCCTTCAAACTAAAATGAATTTATTCAAATATCTATTTGAATGTACGAACTGCAGAAAAACAAAGAAGACCATATGTGCTGTTAATAGTTTTCACACCCATCAAGACAGAGAATATTTGTGTAGATGGAGACATTTACACATATAATTATATACTTTATGTGTATACATTACATAAATATCTCCATTGGACACAAAGAAAATAAGGCATGTTTTTACATTTTGAATGAAAAACATTGATGACAAGGATGAGATTTATTGGTATAAATAAATGTATAAAAATCGTTTTATGTGGGTGACTGGTTTCTCTTGCTATAAATCTCTCTCCCCCCCCCCCACCCGAAGAATTTGGATTGGATCCCAAACAACTTATAGATACCAGTGAATATGAAATAAAACATCTTGCTCACACAGTAAACCACTTAAGGACTTCCTGAGGGGAAGTGTGGAATTCCATAAGGGAGGAAACCAAGAGCAAAGCAGAGAGAGTACATGGGATCCTTGTGGTGGCTTGGGGTGAGTCTGGGGAAAGTCCCATGTGCTGGGTGGGTGTGGTTGCAGGTGAGTTTTCCAATGACCTCATAAGATGAGTGACACACAGGGACTCTCATCGTGCTTGCCCTATGTAGGACAGCAGGAAAGAGAAGTGGGAAACTAAAAGCTGTCAGGTCAATAAAAAATGGTGTCCAGGTTAATCAACCACATAAGCATGGGTTTATTTCTGGGCTCTCTGTTCCATTGATCTGTGTGTCTGTTTTTTTGCCAGTACCATAGTGTTTTAAATACTAGAGTTTTATAATATATCTTGAAATCTGGAATTGTCACATCTCCATCTTTGTGCTTCTTCCTCTTTTATTTTTAATTTTTTAATGTTTTATTTTATTTCTGAGAGAGACAGCATTATCAGGGGAGGGGAGGGAGAGAGGGAGACACAGAATCTGAAAAAGGCTCCAGGCTCTGAGCTGGCTGTCAGCACAGAGCACGACACGGGGCTTGAACCCACGAACCATGAGATCATGACCTGAGCCAAAGTCAGACACTTAACCTACTGAGTCACCCAGGTGCCCCCATGCTTCTTTATCAAGATTACTTTGGCTATTTGGGGTCTTCTGTGGTTTCATGCAAATTTTAGTATAATTTGTCTGAGTTCTATGAAAGATGCTGTTGGTATTTTGACAGGGATTGCATTGGATCAGTAGGTTGCTCTGTGGAGAGCATAGCATAAAATATAAACTTGTCCAATCACTATGCTGCACCACAGAAATACAACATCTTGTGTCAACTATACACCAGTTAAGAAAGATAGAGTCCAGTTTTTTATTACAAGAATAAACAGGGATGTCATGAAATATTTTAGAGTCTTATTTTAGCCCATCTCTTAGTCAAGTGAGGAAGAGACTGGCTAAGCAAAACAAGGCTCTGAATTACTGAGAGAGATACGTGTATGGCTCTATCTGATGAGAACATTCTCTGTAAGGCTAAGAAGACCTTTGACAAGATCAGAGCATTGTCTCAGGTAGAGACTTCTGTGGTAGTTCTGGGAATAATGGGACCAAGAGCTGGGTTGTACTGAATGAAGAAGTGTTTGTGAAGAATTTGAGAATGATTTAGAAAAGGTCCACTTAATCAATGATTGGAGTGATGAGAACAGGAAAAGTGTAGATCACAAGTGAAGGTTTCTTTTTCTCAGAGAAACATCTGAGGAAGTTAGAATTATAATATGTATTCTCTCTACTGGCTTACTAGGTTTAGCATCCCATTGGAATTTTGGGTTAAGAATGTAATAATAATCACCTTTAGTAGAACAGTATATTTAAAATCACTTAAGAAAAATTATGCTTTCCTGAAAAACAATGTTAACTACAAATATTTATGGTGTATACCCTGTATCATGAATTGTGTTCAATACTCTGGTATGTATAAGGATTGATATTTTCAAAACCATGATTATTTAACATGTAAAACATTTTTTTCTGGAAAAATGGGCTTGCAGTGGAAAATATTGCATAATATAAAACCTGACACTTTCCTATATGTTCTATTCAGTCATTTTTTTCTATAGGATAAGGTACAAAATATTATGCTTTTTATCCCCCAAAATACTTGTTGCTGGTTTATTTAATGGATTTAATGAAATATGTTTCATAATTTTTACATGTTCTTTATAGAAGAGTTCAGATTTACTTTCTACGCATCGCAGTGTGGGGATTCTTTTTATTCATGATAAAACTGAATAAAAGAAATGTTAATTGAAACATAGGTTCCCATTTTTAGACCATTCCAACAAATGGCCTCTGAGAGGTGCTGCCTGGTATGTGCTTAACAGGAAGAGATTTTCTAGGCACTGTTTTAAGATAGTTTTTTGTTTTTTTCCAAAATTAAGAAACAATAATAGATGGCCTCCCCTGCTTCACAAAACAGAAAATGAATCACGCAGCAGTGACTTTGTTTGGGAAGTCTTCATACCGAAAACTCAAGGCATACAACAAGAGCTTACCTACAACCTGATTACAAAATGAGCCAAAGACCTTAAAAGCACCAAGAAGATATACAAATGGCACATAAGCATATAAAAAGATGCTCTGTATCATACGTCATCAGGGAAATGTATATTAGAACAACCGTGAGATACCACCATACACCTATCACAATGGCCAAAATCCAAAACACTGACAACATCAAATGCTGACGATAATGTGAAGTGACAAGAACTCTCATTCATTGCCAGTGGGAATGCAAAATGGTACTGCCACTTTGGAAGACAGCTTGCTGTTTTTTCAGGTTTTTTAAAAAACAAAATCCTCTTATCATACAGTCTAGCCGAAAACTCAGGTCCACACCAAAACCTGCTCATAAATGTTGATAGCAGCTTTATTTTTAGTTACCAAAACTTGGAAGCAACCAAAATGTCCTTCAGTCCATGAACGGATAAATTAACTGTGGTACTTCCAGGCTATGGACTGTTACTCAGCCCTGAAAAGAAATGAACTATCAAGTTATGAAAAACAAATGAAAGGACTTAAATGCATATTACTTAGTGAAAGAAGCCAATTGAAAAAGGCTACATACTGTGATCCCAACTATATGACATTCTGGAAAAGCTACAAAACTATGGAGAAGGTGAAAAGATGAGGGTTTGCCAGCGTTTGTGGGGAAGACAGGGGTGACTAGGCAGAGCACGGCAGTGGGACTACTTTGTATGACACTGTCATAGTAG